AGGAAATGCATGCATCTAGAAATTATAAAATGGGTAAATATACAGATGTTAGTATGTGGCAATTAATTCATACTAAAAATGAAAGATAAAATTACTATAAAAAGGGCTGGGGTTGTAGCTCAGTGGTGGAGCACTTGCCTAGCACGTGTGAAGCACTGGGTTCGATCCTCAGCACCATATAAAAATAAATAAATAAAACAAAAGTATTATGTCCACCTACAACTAAAATAAATTTTTTAAAAGGAAACAACTCCATATGCAAAATATACCAAAAAATAAGATGCATTTCTTTGTGAATAAAGTTATGATATAGTCTTTTGTGGGGATTTTTTTGGTACTGGGGATTGAACCCAGGGGCTCTCAACCACTAAGCCACATCCCCAGTCCCCTTTTTTTTTTTGCATTTGATTTAGAGACAGAGTCTCACTGAGATGCTTAGGGCCTCAGTAAGTTGCTTAGGCTGGCTTTGAACTCAAAAATCTTCCTGCCTCAACCTCCCGAGCTGCTGGGATTACATAGGCATGTACCACAGCACCCAGCTAAAGATGTAGGTTTTTGTTGATTGTTAAAAGAAAAATTAATTTTTGTCTTGAAGTATAATGACATATTGTTTTAGAATGAAAAAGGATAATACAGGGCAAAAGCTGAATAGATATAAAAAGTTGGGAAGAGCGCTGGGGATATAGCTAGTATGCAAAAGACTCAGGGTTCCATCCCTAGCACTGCAAAAAAATTTAAAAGTTGGAGAGAAAGTGAGCAAAAGAGAATCTGGTGTGGTCAAATCAACTAAATTTGAGTGGAAAAAAAATGGAGGTGGGGTACCAGGGATTGAACTCGGAAGCACTTGATCGCTGAGTCACATCCCCAGCCCTTATTTTATATTTTATTTAGAGACAGGGTCTCACTGAGTTGCTCAGTGCCTCACCATTGCTGAGGCTGGCTTTGAACTCACAAATCCTCCTGCCTTGGTCTCTTGAGCCGCTGGGATTACAGGCATACGCCACCATGCCCAGCTTGAACAAAAATTTTTAAACATATTTTCTGTTGTTGTTGTTTTGTTTGTTTGTTTTTTGTACTGGAGATTCAACACAGGGCTTTTTATTTACTTTTTAATTTTGAGACAGGGTCTAGGCCCAGGCTAGCCACAACTTTCTCCTGCCTCAGCCTCCCGAGTGGCTGGGATTACAGGCATGTACCATGTCCCATATTCAGCCACCATATTATTTAGGTCTTGCATTATTGCTTATGACATTTTAGATTGCTTACAAGAAATGTACTTTTATGCATTTTAACCCTGAATTTAAGAAAAATAATTATTATTTATTTCAGGTAGACATTTGGTTTTTATCAGGAGAAAGCAAATCTCCCAGAGTTTAGTTTCTGCCACTAGGAATCATTGGGTAGAGTCAGTGAATCAGATATTTGACATAATTTATGGCAACTGTTTCCCAAACCTCCTGGCAATGCCTTTTCTCCTGCAGTAAGCCAGATGATGAAGCATTTCTGGGTTTACACTTTTATGTGGTTTTTCTTTTTTTCCTGGATTAGCTGTATTATGGTATTATTTCTTTTTCTGACCTCCCCCGGGCTTTTCATTTTAATTATTGGTAAGTCCTCTTAGAATCTCCTCAGATGGCTCCTTAAAGGGGGAGTTCCAGGTGTTGAGTAAAGAGCAGAAATATTGGATACTGGAATCTTCTGGTCTTCCCTGGCATTTGCTGCAAACTTCTGCCGGGCTGAAGAGGTTGCGGCAGTTTCTAAATTGTGGCAGCAAGCTCCATAACTCTGACTTTTCAACAAAATCAGTATGTAGGGCACTGTGGTGTGTGCCTGTAACCCCAGCTACTTGGGAGGCTGAGGCAGGAGGATCATTTGAGGCCAGGGGTTTGAGGCCAGTCTGGAGAACACAATGAGACCCTGTCTCTTAAAAAAAAAAAAAAAAATTAGCATCAATGTCCAGCTCCTTCTCTATTGGACCTATTAGAAGTCTGGCCTTTCCAATTTTTAGTGGTTCATTTTCCCTCCTTAATCTTTCATTCTCAACCACAAGAAATTCTGCATGCCTCCTCAAATCCTCCAATTCAGTTGCCTGCTTCTGTATAATAATTGTTTTATCATCTTTGGGGGTTTTGCTTCCTGTTGGCTCGTTCTTTTGCTAAAGTAAAAATTATAGTGTGTCTGGATCCCGGACAGAGACCCCTGGATTTCACGGAAGAGCTTCTCTGTAAAGGGGAAGACGAACCTGGCCCTCCCATCCTCAGCAGAGGGTTGGTGAGATGCCTGCAGCTGGGCAGCTGCACCCTGGTCCTCTGTGAGCTCTGAGTCTTCTTCACTCACGCTTGACCCACTCCTGCCTCTCTGCCAGGAGGACTTTCATGTGACTATCCCTCTGCAGATCTCGTGGCAGAAGGGCCTTCCGGGATTGTCAGCTTTGGATGGTCAGCTTCGTGGCTTTGGAGAGACAAGCCACAGCTAATAATGGTCAGCTCATATGCTCTCTTGATAACAGGTTGCAAGGTCCTTCCATTACTTCCCTAGACCCCAGGGAAAGTGGTGGCAGCAGCCACAGGAGCACATGGGTGAGACACAGCAGAGACAGCAACCCCTCTGCATGCCCCGGGAACCAGTGGTGGGCACAGAGTGAGAAACCACCACCTTGAGGAATGAGGTTTCTAAAAGTATTCTTTTTTTTTTTTTTTTTTTGTACTGGGGATCGAACTCAGAGGCACTCAACCACTGAGCCACATCCCCAGCCCTATTTTGTATTTTATTTAGAGACAGGGTCTCACTGAGTAGCTTAGTGCCTTGCTTTTGCTGAGGCTGGCTTTGGAACTCACATCCTCCTGCCTCAGCCTCCCAAGCCCAGCTTAAATTTATTCTTAATATCAAAACTAGAACAAAACTAGAATTTGGTCTTCCCTTTTATAGAAACGGTTTCCTCGGAGCATTGATAAAAGGCTCTGAAATGGTTCCTTTACCTTTTAAGTTATCTGCTAAGGGATTCTGTGGGATTCTGTTGTAGTGTCTATTTGTGCACCAGTCTCCCCTCCCAGTGCTGGAGACCACATCCAGGGCCACATACATGCTGGGCAAGCCACATACCACCAAGCAACAGCCCCATCCTGGATTCTGTATATTATGAAGAACAAAATGTCTTGTATGAGGTCTTTTGTTAAAAGAACTTAGTCTTCTCAATATTAAAAAAGCTAAGTTCTTTTTTTAAAAACTATGTAACTTTCCTGTGTTTGCAGTGAAATCTTTCTTCACTTTGGTATCGTTTCATAACCATCATAGTGATCTGTGATCCTGTTTATTAAGGTGGGTTTTTTTAGTTTGGTTTGGTACTAGGAATTGAACCCAGGGCTGCTTAATCACTGAGTCACATCCCCAGCTCTTTTTATTTTGCGACAGGGTCTTGCTAAGCTGCTTAGGGCCTTGCAAGTTGCTGAGGCTAACCTTGAATTTGTGATCCTCCTGCCTCAGCTTCCCAAATTGCTGGGTTTATATGCACATGTACTGCCACACCCGGTAAGCAACTACATTACTGAAGTGTTCCATCTTCTCTCAGATCTACAACAAAGGTAACTTCAAGATTTAGGTTTAACATCATTTAAGGAAATTCATGGAAAACCCTAACAAGTATAGATTTCTTAAGACCGTACCATTGAACTGAGTAAGAATTTTCAGAACTTTAATGAAAGTGAAGAGTTTATGAAACTGCTAACCCAATATCAAGCAGAACAAGCATTAATGACATGGCTGGGCTCAGTGGCCCACGCCTGTAATCCCAGCAGCTTAGGAGGCTGAGGCAGGAGGATTGACAGTTCAAAGCCAGCCTCAGTAAAAAAAGTGAGATGCTAAACAACTCAGTGAGACCCTGTCTCTAAATAAAATACAAAATAGGGCTCAGGATGCAGCTTGGTGATCGAGTGCCCCTGAGTTCAAGCCCCAGTACCCAAACTCAACAACAATAAACAAACACTGTTCATTCTTTAGGGTTTTGTTTTGTTGTTTTTTTTTTTGGTTTTGTTTTTCATTTTTCAGATTTAAGGAAACTTTTTTTTTTTTCCCCTAAGCTATCTGGGGAATTTGGTAAAGTATACTATTGTGAACAAAAATTGAAACATTTTTTGGCTCCCTACTTGATAACGCTAGAACTGGGAAACTCTTAGGGAGTATTCTTTTTTTTTTTTTTTAAATATATTCAGTTGTAGATGGATATAATTATTTTATTTATTTTTGTATATGGTGCTGAGGATCAAAACCAGTGCCTCCCGCATGCTAGGCAAGCACTCTACCACTGAGGCACAATCCCAGCCCTCTTAGGGAATATTCTTATTTGTATGGCAATAGGGTTATTTGCATAAACTCAACCAAAATCTGTTCTTTTTGTAACAGGAAACAATTGGAAATGCTAGTTTGGATAAGTTACAAAAGCTTCAAGAAAAGAACAGATAGCTACAGATAGCTTTTTTTTTTTTTTTTTTTTTGGTACTTGGAATTGAATCCAGGCATGCTCTACCACTGAGCTACGTCCCCACACCTTTTTATTTCTTATTGTGGGACTAGAGTCTTGCTAAATTGCTGAGGCTGGCCTCAAACTTTATCCTTCTACTTCAGTCTCCCAAGTCATGGGATCATAGGTGTGTGGTCATGGCTCCTAGCATGACCAAACAGCTTTAAGGAATTTAAATAAACTATGCAATCAATAAATAGCCCCTTAGGGGGAAAAAAAAGTCTGAATTAAAAGGGTCTCTGAAAGCTGAAGTCAGAAGACTTCATAAAGGCTCCAGAGAAATCACCAGAACAGTTTATACATGGGCAGCTGCGTGCCTGTTGATATGTGGACTGCTCAGAAAGTTCACTGGGACACTTGCAAATTTCAAACCAGGAAAATCCATCAGATTGACATGGACTGAAAATGCTTTCAGACCAACATCTAAAATCTTCTCTACTGCCCTCTGGACACAGACACTAGGTTTATGTAGTTTATTCTTGCCATTGACCTGTTTTCTTTTGTTTATTTTATTTGGTTTGGCTCATGGGGACCTTGGCTGAGAAACACACTCCAAATTGTTGGTATCATTTCCCTGATAGTTGTCCTAGTAGTCTCCGAGGCATGCTGTCTTCTCCCAAGGTCGTAAGTGCATGTTTGCCGCTATCAATGGTACACCCGATGGTCTCACTGTGATTAAGCAACATAAATGAGATGAACTACAAAAGGAATGTTTCTTGCCTGAGCTTGATGTCCTGCCCAGTCAGCCTGGCTCTCCCAGGGAGCCTCCCTGCCCTGCTCAGCCCATCTAGGGACAACACAGCCCCTGTCCCTTCCCCAGGAGGCTGTGCTGCTGTGCTGCTCAAGAAGGGGATGGGCTCCTTGGTCACCTGCCTCAGGACAGAAGGCAGCCCAGCCCCTGCCCCCAGCTCTTTGAGCCACCTCCCTCCCCTGGCACCAGTGTCACATACTCTCAGAGGCAGTAACTAGAATGGGCACCAAACTCAGAAAGACCTGGATCCAAAGCCTGGCCCTGCCACTCACTGGCCATGCGCCTCTGTGCCTCAGTTTCCTCATTGGCAAAACGACGACAGTCATGGTTGTGTGGCAGAGTTCCATGCAGGACACAGCAGCCACCAGAGGTGTCTTGAATAGAAAGTGATTGGACCCAGGATTGGGGGCACGGGGGATGCCTGTGTGGCCATGGGGGGGGGGCTGAGTCTCTAGAGGGTCTGCTGCTGGGTCTGAGCAGGAAAGGGAGGTGGGCGCCCAAGGCTGCATCAACGGCTGTGGGCCAGGGAGCAGGCGGGCCTCACTTCTTCTGCCAGCTGTCCCCTGGCGCCCAGGGTGGTGACTGGACACCAGCTGCTGCTGAAGGAAAAAAGGTGCAACTGCATGGCCAGCTTGCCAGGGGCAGCCCAAGCAGGAAGGCGGCCTCCTTCACTTCCCCAGTCTCATGTGAGGGTCTAAGTGGTGGATCTGTCTGCACTGTCCCTCGGGAAGGACCGGATCTAGGAAAGGCTGTGTTTAGCTTTCTCTCTTTTCTTCCTTTTTGGCACCAGGGATTGAGCTCAGGGGTGCTTCACCACTGAGCCACACCCCCAGCCCTTTCCTATATTTTGTTGGAAACAGGGTCTCGCTGAGTTGCTGAGGCTGGGTTTGAATTTTCCATCCTCCTGCCTTGGCCTCCCCAGTGGCTGGGATTACAGTCATGTGCCACTGCACCCGACTTAGCTTTCTGCCTCTGAAGGACAGGAAATAGGTGGCGGTGGATCCTGGATGCTCCTCAGCCAGCAAGGGTTCTGCCTGGAGGGCGCCCTGGACAGTTCCTGGCACAAGAGCAGGTGCTGAGTAAGTGTGGGTTATGGTTCATACGCTGTCATTGTCACGTGCCTGCTGTGTGCCAGCACTGTGCTGGCCCCGGGGAGATCCAACAGCAAACAAGACAGGTCCATGCCCTTTAGTATAGACTAAGCACAAAGTAAATTGTTCTACATAAAAGAAAACTGTCACAAAAGCCTGGGATCAACAGGGCTATGAGAGTCAAACAGGGGACCCTGACAAGACTTGTCCCGGGGGAGATGGGGAGCCATGAAGTCTTTCCAGGAGGAGGGAACTCTTAATATGAGGCTTGGAGGAGAAGTCGACATGAACCAAGTCAAGCAGAAAGAAGCAAAGGGTGTGTCATGATGTTCACATCCACCCAAGGGACCCTTACAAACCCTGGAAGATGGAGAACGTCTGTCATTTGGAAGGAGTGGACGTCTGTCTTACTGGTGCACAGTGTGGTGGGTGAGTGGGTGAGGAATGAGCTGGAGAGGAAAGAGGATGGGGAGGCGGGGTGAGGTTTGGCTCAGTGGTAGAGCACTTGCCTAGCCTGTGGGAGGCACTGGGTTCAATTCTCAGCACTGAATATAAATGAGTGAATAAAATAAAGGTCCATCAATGTCTAAAAAAAAAAAATAATAAAATAATTTTAAAAAGAGGATAGGGAGACCTCATGGGGCATGCAGGGTCATTCCTGGGCATTGAGCTTTAGCCTATTGGCAATGGGAGGCCGCTGAAGGCATTTAATCAGGGAAAGGATCGTGGCTGTTCTGGTTTCAGCAATATCACTTTGATGTCGTTTGTGCAACAGGTTAGAAGAGGGCAGGACTGCGTGCAAGGTTTCATTTATAACTCCGCCATCTGGGCCGGAAATCATGGCAGCCTAGAGGAGGATGGGGGTGGGGGGGCCGGTAGAGCTGAGTTCAGGAGAAGGCAGAGTGAGCCATGGGGGTGGGGTGGGGGATGGGAGGAACCTGGGGTGGCTGCCAGGTTTCGGCAGCAGGCGCACCCGATAGGGTGGGGCTCCCATCCACTGCCGGCAGTTGATCCTGGGATGGTGCCCACCCACAGGCTGCCTGTCCTGGACTGAGTTCACAGAAAGCCCCTTCCCTCCCATTCAATGGCCTGCGTGTGATTCAACTCCACCAACAATTAGCAAGCACCCATTGTGTGCCTGGAATTGGGAGGCTCCTTCCAGGCTCACCTATGGGGGTTATACTGGGTGACAGAGATGGGAGGCTGGGGGTGGGAAGAGAAGAAAGGAAAACTCAGGACACTTGGCCTGCATTCAGGCCCTGTCCCCTCCCCTAGGGCTGGAGGACCACACCTACCCCAGCCCTGCTTCTCACCGCCTCCCCCCTAGGTAGGCAAAGTAGGAGGGTGGTCACTATGGCCTTCCACAAAGGCTCTCCGCCCCAAATCCTATGGGAACAGGCAGCTACGTGGCCTCTTCCTACTCACAACGCCAGAAAGTTCTGTGTTCCTTCTGCTGAGAGACCCAGGAGGAAAGGAGGAACCTTCCAGACCCTTGTCCCACAGGACTCACAGCCTGCTGGCCAATAAACTCACTCCTTCAGATCAAGATGTTTCCCCAGATGTCTCCTGGCTACAGGGAGACAAGAGCCCGTAACTGCTGGGTGACACGTAACTACTTTATTTTTTATTTTGGGGGGCTAGGGATTGAACTCAGGGTCTTATGCCTGCTAAGCACGTGTTCCACCATTGTGCTAAACCTCCAGTCAAATTAAGTTGTTTTTTTTTTTTTTTTTAATGTTTCTTTCTTTTTTAGGAGAATATAGCTCTGTTGCCCAACTTCTGGGCTCAAGTGATCCTCTTGCCTCATCCTCACAAGCAGCAAGGACCACATGTTTACGACACCACCACACCTACCTCAGTATCAGCTTCTTACTATCACGCTAGTGCAGGCAAATTCTAGGACTGCTCTATAATTGGATCTTGGATCCTAGAAGAGAGGCCTGCTTTTTAGAAAGATGAGAGTCCCAGAGCCATCCTAGTGAGTCTGGATGTTTGGAAAATAATAACAGTAACAGCATTTACTATTGATCATTTACTATCCTCATTTCTAAATCTGCAAACTTCTGCAGGGTAAATATTGTTTCTATTTTGCAGATGATGAGTTAGGCTTTTTTTTTTTTTTTGGTACCAGGGATTGAACCCAGGGACATTTGACAACTAAGCCACATCCCCAGTCCTTTCTATTTTTTATTTTGAGACAGGTCTCACTAATTTGCTGAGGCTGGCCTCAAACTTGTGACCCTCCTTCCTCAGCCTTCCCAGTGGCTGGGATTACAGGCGAGTACCACCATGCTTGGTGTTTTTTTGTTCATCAAGGTCACATGACCACCAGGTGACGGAACTGAAATTTTGTTTTGTTTTGTTTTTGTGCTGGGAATTGAACCCAGGGACTTGTACATGCTGGGCAAGGCTACTTTCCTAGTCCACTAACCGAAATCTTGACCAACCCAGACTTGATACCAATGCTTTCTTGGAGTCTTGCTCCTGGGATCCCCTGCTCAATATAAGTCCTGCCACTCCCTGGAGGGGTCAGGTTCCTGAATGATGTTTTCCTCTCACACTTATCACATGGTCCCAGTTATTGAAGCCCTTGGGAAGGAGGGGGTGGAGAGAGCCAAGGCCAAGATGCAGAGGGGAATATGGGCTGGGGAATCTGCACAGGGAGAGAGGAACCAACCAGGACCTCCAGAGAGTCCTTTCCATTCCCAGTAGGGGGTCTTCTGGGCACCACAGAGTCCTGTTCTTGCCCCGTGTTTCAGAATCCAAGGACTCCTGGGCTTGCTCTTTCCCCTCCCAATCTGGCTCCAAGAAGCCTCAGGACTTCCTCTTCCCTCTGCTCTGGGACGCTGTCCAGAGCCTCAGCCTACTGACCTGAGGTCCCCACCCGGGTTTAATTTCTACCAACTCTAATGCCTTCAAATCCCCGGCTGAGACACCAGGCCAGGGTACAGCCTGCAGAGCTCATTCATGTGAAGGAGCTGTCTGGTGACCACAGTGGGAGTGGGCAGAAGCCTCCAGGCTCACGGCAGCTGCCCCTCCCACCCCCAATCTGGGTTCTTTGCCAACTGCCCCATGTAGCTTTGGGGTGGGGGGGAAAGACCAGTGCTATTCCTCGGGTCACAAGACCTCGGCTGTGTCCCTGGGCAAATCTTGGTAACTCCAGGTCCTTGAGTGGCAGAACTGGACAGGCTCCAGGGCTTGGCACTGCTGTGAACTACTGCCTCTGCTGGGAAAGGAGGACCACTAGAGGACATGGAGGACACAGGCTGGTGGGGAAGCCACCAATATGTCGTCCTGCTGGGCTAGGGCAGGGGGATGTGCCCAGCTTGGCCAAACATGGAGGCTGGTCCCTGCCTCAGACGAGGAAACCTGTCTGCGTCCATGAGGGCTGGATCTTGCTTCAGGGTCCTCTCTCCTTGTTAGCACCAGCCCCAGCCTTCTGGAACCAGAACATTCCCACTGCCACCTCCCACACTATATCCCTGGGGAGCCCACACTCCACACTGACACCTCTGTGGTGTGTATGCAGTCTCTCCAACCCAACAGCAAACACTCTTGGATCAACAGGAAACACACCTCAATAGGCGCAAACAGCCCCCCTTCCCCCACAAAGACAGTCCTGACCTACCATCAATTCCCCAGGACCTGAAGGCCATCTGTTTCCAGGGCTCCCCGGGACATCACACCAGCCTTCTTCAAGAAGCCTGGAGAGAGGGGGCCAGTCCTTGGGTGCAAAGGACAGTCAGTCTCTTCCCGCCCTTCCCCCCTCCCCCTCCAGAAGGTCCTGTCAGGTCTTCATTCCATCCTGCTACCCCCCCCCAGCCCAGATGCGGCAGTGCGGGTGCGCCCTCGTGTGGCCCACAGCGGCCCTGCAACCTCAAGCCAGGATCCTGGCCCCTATTTCCCCACCCACTCCTGCACCTGGGCATCCCCTCCTCCAGGAGCTGCCCCCACCGTGTGTGAGAGCCCGGTTCCCGTGACTCTCCCATCTGGCCTCCTTAGAATGATGAGAGTAACAGGTCCTGTTTACATTGTTGTAGGGATATTACCAAAGCCCTGACAAGGAGTCCTGCTGTCTTCAGCAGATGACTGCTAAAGTCATTTCCTTCCCCACTCTGATGCTGTTTATTTTCTTTTTCTTTTTTTAATTGTAGTTGGACACAATATCTTTATTTTGTTTATTTATTTTTATGTGGTGATGAGGATCAAACCCAGGGCCTCACACGTGCTAGGTGAGTGTTCTACCGCTGAGCCACAACCCCAACCCCTGATGCTGCTTCTTCTAGGAAGTAAAAGAAAATGAAATAAAACAGGCTCCCAAGGAAATCACAGTTCTCCATCATCATTAGCAGAGCTTTCATTAACTGTTTACCCGAAGACAAGGAACATGAAGTACTTTCCATGTGCTAAATACAATTCATAGGAGGCTATTGGTTTGGACTGAAATTCTGCACTGGGCCCAGCAGACCAAGCCAAAACAGAGTCACTGTTCCACACTTCCACAAAATCAGGAGAGCCAGTGAGAAGGATTGCTTCTTTCAGCCCTTTTCTTTTCTTTTCTTTCTTTTTTTTTGTCTATAAGATCAAACTCCTCTGTTCAGTACTTTGGAACACTTGACTTATTCTATTTTATAGAATGAGATGTTGCCCAGCCAGGCACAGCGGTGCACATCTGTAATCCCAGTGACTTGGGAGGCTGAGGCAAGTTCAACACCCGCCTCAGCAACTTAGGGAGGCCCTCTGCAATTTAGCTAGACCCTTTCCCAAAATAAAAATAAATAAATAAACAAATAAATAAATAAATTTAAAAAAAGGACTGGGAATGTGGCTCATCTGTAAAGCAACCCTGGGTTCAATTCCCAGTACCAAAAAAAAAAAGAGAGAGAGAGAGAATGAGGTGTTGCTCAATTCATGAATCATGAATAAAAGTCAATTAGACCTAGAACTAAATTTGTTGTAATTTTCTCCTTGGATACATGGAAATTCAAAAAAAGGAAATAAGGGTTTAAAATTTAATTAAAGTCCCAGCATGGTAGGAATGAGCTGACATCACTTGGAACTTTGTTGATAATAAAAGCAAGTTCTTCTGACTTGAGATTCCCCTCCCTTATACACCCTCTCTGCAGGGCCACCCCAGGCTGTATCCTCTTTAATCAGAGGAGGGCAGAGATGAGGGAATGGGGGATCATGACTAGCCTCACCAGGCCTTTGCTCAGGGTCTGGTCAGCTGAGAGGACCTCAGGTAGAGGCATAGGGAAGTGCTCCTGAGCAGTGATTTCAGAAACCTTGGCCTAGACCCATTGGCCAAACCCTCCTTCCTTACCTATCACTGAAGGTTCCTCCATGGTGACTTTACTTACCCAGAAGTTAAAAAGCTGTAGAAAGAGACTCATGACAAGCAATTGACAATTTATAGAAGGCATCTTGGCCAGCCTCCCTCCCAACCCAGCAATCCCTGGTTAGCAGCTGACCCTGCTGCAGGGCCTTGGCTGGAGAGCTAGAGGGGCTCGTCCTCCCCTGGTGCAGCCGCCCTCTTGGAGCCCAGGCAGCTCTGGCACCTGGAGGCTCTTCTCATGCTGCTCAGCTTCTGCCAGGCAGAGCCACAGTTCAGGGCTCTGTGCAGGTGCCAGGCCCGCGCCAGGCTGTGGAGAGTGTAGGGTGCTACAGTCGCTGCCACTGTCCTCAGGACGCAGCAGGACTGGAGTGAGGAAGTGAGCAGGGCCCTGGCTGCCAGCAGCCTCAGCAGTCCTGGGGACACGCACTTGTCCCACAGTCAAAGTTCTGCCCTGCACGCTGGAGGATGGAGCCATCAGTGTACAGTAGGACAGTCACCCAGTGGCATGGACCCCTGACCCCGTAAGCAGCCTGGTGACAGGTGGACTCCTACTGAATTTTTTCTAGTTCTTTTATGAAGTATCTGTGGCCTGATCCTGACCCTATGAACTTCCTTCTGGCAGCCCAAGCCCCCAAGCTTGGCTCAACTAAGCTAGGCGGCTGCCAGTGGGTTCGGGAATTAACCTAGTGGTTCTTCGACTTGAGGGTGTAACAATCAGAGATTGTTAAAGTACAGATACAGATCTTCATTGCCTGGATAAACGTAAGCAAAAATTCAAATCCTGGGGAATGCCCCAAGGGACCAGCATAGGATGCAGGCTGCGGGTGGTGTTGTTGGACAGGCTGGCCTGACCGCTCTGAGAGGTCAAGAGAGGGTCAGAAAAAGTAGCCTTTGCACTGAAGTCTGAAGGCAGGTCAGAGTTTACCAGACCAAAGAGAGGCCCTGGAAAAGGCTCCTGTAAAGTTGGGGAGCAGGAAAGAGCCCTCCTTTAGCTGGGCTAAAGGTCTTTCCATACCAGATCTGGAGTCTGGGGAGGTGGGTGAGGGACCACCCAGCTGTCTGAGCTCTGGGTTTAAAGTCAGGTCCTGGAGTCCAGTCATAGCTATACCATAACCTGTGTGTCTTAGCTTTCTGCTGGGCCAAGTGGAGTTTCAGAGTAAACCTTG